TATACAGTGGCAAATAGACAGACACAGTCCTTCCTCATTGAGTTCACAGCTCAGACAAAAAGGCGGACAAAAAAGAACTCTCAAATAAATAATAAAGTGTGATAAATGTGGTAAAAAAATAACCAGAGTTCTGTGAGAAAGAATAACAATAAAAAAAGATAATTTAGACACGGGAGGGGAAATGTTTTAAACACAGCTTCCTTGAAGAAATAACAAGAGAGTCAAAGAATGAGCGTTCACTAACAAAGAGAAGAGTGATTGGAAGAGCATTCCAGGCATATGAAGCAGCAGGCGTAAAGACCCTGTGGAATTAAAGAGCTTGTGCATTCAAAGAACTAAAAGAAGGCCACAGGGCTAAAGTGTAGTGAACAAGAGGGCTTGGCCTGCAGTAAAGTTAGAGATGGGCTCCCCCTAACTCACACAAAAGCTTTTCACCATGGTGAACATGTTGTATGACATCAGAAAGGCAGAGAGAACCTGCTGAGAGATGCTTAAGCGAGAGAGGGAGTTGACTCAATCACATTTTTTTTTTTTGTCTTTTTTTGTGACCGGTAAGGGGATTGCAACCCTTGGCTTGGTGTCCGCACCACGCTCAGCCATTGAGCGCACCGGCCATCCCTATATAGGATCTGAACCCGCGGCGGGAGCATCGCTGCACTCCCAGCACCGCACTCTCCCAAGTGCGCCACGGGGCTGGCCCCTCAATCACATTTTTAAAAGATTACTCTGGCGACTGTACACACATGGGGTTGGAGGAGGATGAAAAAAGGTGTAGAGGTGATGCTGGCTAGGGTGGGGAAGCAAGGTGGAGGAGAGGTGGATTTTCCATGTAATCTTGAGATATCCTCATTTGGGCTCTGTAGTCAGCTGTGTATGCAGTGGGGTCCCTGTGGCCTCATGTCTCACACTGTGTGGACATAGTCATTCCCATATCTCCATTCTAAAGAGACTACTTTGCTGGAGTCCTATTGCCTCACCAGGTGGTCTTCCCAGGATGCATTCTACATAATCCATATCTGATCCTCAGAATCACACATGTTTTTATTCATATATCTTTTCCTGAAAAGCTTTCAGAGTGCAGGCCTTGCCCCATGGCCATCCCTCCTCAGTAGGCTGATAGGACCGCTGGTCACCCATATGTCTCTCACCTTTAGACTTTATCAAGCACGAGTATGGTCACAGCCACATGTCCCACAGACTCCAGAGGATACAGGCTAAGCTTTGAAAATAGTCTCCTTGCAAAGGGAAATCAATATATCGAAGAAATACTTGCACTCCTATGTTTATTGCAGCACTATTCACAATAGCCAAGACATGGAATCAACCCAAGTTCATCAACAGATGCCTGGATAAAGAAAATGTAGCATATATACACACACACACACACACACACACACACACACACACACACACACACACACACACAATGGAATACCATTCAGCCATAAAAAATAATGAAATCCTGTCATTCATGGCAACATGGGTAAGCCTGGAGGATGTTACGTAAAGTGAAGTAAGCCAGGAACAGAAAGAGAAATAGCACATGTTCTCACTTCCATGTGGAAGCTAAGAAGGTTGATCACATAGAAGCAGAGAGAAGAATGGCAGTTACCAGAGGGTGGAAAGGGTTGGGATGGGGGGGATAGTGAGAAGTTGGTTAATAGATACAAAATTACAGCTATATAGTAGGAATAATATCTAGTGTTCTACAGCAGTATACGGTGACTGTAATTAATAGCAGTTTATTATATACTTTCAATTAGTTAGAAAGGATGGTTTTGAATGTTCCAAACACAAACAAATGATAAATGTTTGAGGTAATGGGAAAAAATCAGGGGTAGCCAGGGTTTCAGTGGGGGAGAGAAGGGGAAAGGGATGAATAGGTAGAGCACTGAGGAGTTTTAGGGCAGTGAACTATTCTGTATGATATTATAGTGGTGAACACATGACATTATGCATTTGGCAAAACCAACAGAAATGAGCAACACAAGGAGGGACCCCTAATGTAAAATTGAGTCAATAGTGATAGATCAATATTGGTTCATAACTGTAACAAATGGACCACCCTAATGTAATGTTAATAATAGAAACTGTGTACAGGAAAGCAGAGGAGGGGGTATGGGAACTACCTGTACTTCCTGCTCAATTTCTCTGTAAACCTAAAACTGCTATAAAATAAAGCGTAAAAGAAAAAGTCCCCTTGAAGACACTTTCAGCAGGATCAAGGAGATAGCAAAGCGCCCCCATCCTTCTCGTTGTGATAGAGGAGTAGGGGTGAGACTAACAGAGCCTCAACAGCTCTACAAAGACACCCTCCCTCCAGTATCCCACCTCTCTTCCTCTTCTCCAATATGCTCGAGGTGCTTGGTCATCTAAGACTAGTAAAATCCATTTGGCACCTCATTTTGAGGCCTGCATGGAGCCTACACCTCATCTGTGTGTCAGGGCTGTTGGCACCTCTTGTCCTGGATACTCTTGTCTAAATAGAGACAGAAAACATCGCATTTTGACATCCTCTCCGAGCCTCCGTGCAGCCACCTTCTGAAACAGCAGACGTGGGTGTCCGGCACCACTGCCGTTTTCCCACAGTTGTGCACCCCACACTCGTGGCTGACCCCCGGAGCCTCTCCAGCGCTCCTGCCTTGGGCCTCAATGCAGCAGTGAAGTTGTCAGGGTCAGCTGTGCCCCTTCTCTCCTCGTCAGTCCTCTTCCTCCTCACCCCATGATGTCACCTGTCCCAGGAAGCTAAGTGACTCAACCAGCAGCAAGTTCGCTGCTGCCCACCTCCTCCTCCTCTGTCCCCAGGCAGGTGTTGGTATCTGATCAAGCCCACTCTCCCCCACTTTAAAAGACCGTGAGCCTCACTGTCACACAGACCCTGCTGTTTCCCCTTTATCAGTCATTTTCCTGAGAGTTTGTCCAACAGCTCAGACCTTATAATAGGAAGATGGGTGGAAATGGGTGAAATTTTCAGGACTTGCCTTACTCAATAAGACACAGAAAAGCAGAAATGGGTGACCTATATGAAAAGCAAAGAAGATGGAATTTGCTTGATTGAACTGAGAGGACAAAGCAAGCAGAAGAGGCTGATACTTTCTGGAGTAGTGGAAAGGAAAGAAATGGGGAGAAACCAGAGCTGATAACATAGGTAGAAAATGTAGAAGGTAAAACCATCTTCAGAATATTCCATTTTGAAAGCTTCATGAAAAAGTCATAGGAAAGAATTACCTGGATGTAGGAGCATCCTCTTTTTCAGTGATTTCAGACTGTTCACCAGGAAAGGACAAGTTGTATCCTAACCACAGTTTGCCATGTGCCTGACAGGAACAAATGCTAAGCATGGACTGCGCTGCAAAGCCTGTAAGATGAGCATCCACCACAAGTGCACAGACGGCCTGGCACCCCAGCGGTGCATGGGCAAGCTGGTAAGGGCCTGTGCCAGGAGTGGGCCCCACACTTTCTGCCCAGGGCACTTGCCAGCTGCAGTGAGATCATCCCCTCCAAATTCCTTCACTGCAGCCCTGAGGAGGGCACCCCAGAATCCCTGGCCTGCCACCTTGGCTTCCTAATTGGCATAATGATAGAGCAGAGGAGGAGCTTTGTCAACCTGATAGACAAACACCCCACACTTAATAGGAGTCAAGGTCCTTCGTAGAGTGACCATTTCTCCCTGGTTGGGACTTTCTCAGTTTTACACTGAAAGTCCACATCCTAGGGCTGTTCATCCTGGGACTGTTTCAAAAGTGAAAGTCACACATTCCACGAATCCCCTCAGCCCCAAGAAAACTAGGGTGATTGGTCACCCTAGTGCTTAATTGGCTGTCAGTTCAGTGGGTGTCAAGAGAGGACTAGAGCTAACCCCTGCGAAAGTGGCAAGAGTAATAAATATCCACACCACCTTAACAGAATCTTGTTGGCCAGACCAAGGGAGACTGGGTAGTCCTGGCTCATTCTGGGCTGATCATACCATCTCAGGTGTATAGGCTTCAGTCCTGGTGCCACACATCGATAAAAAGCAACCCAGAGCATGTTTGAGGGTCTTTGAAACTAGGCTGGTCCAAAGAATTTAGAAAAAAACAAGAATGACTACCCTAGAGAATAACTAAACAGGACATAACACCTGTCTACAAAACGTGTAAGGCCTGTCACATAGAAGAGGAATTCTGTTGTCCTTTGTGGCTCCAGGGGAAAGACATAGAATCAGTGGATACCAAATCTAATCAAAGATAATGTCACCAAAGACCTGCCTCTAGGGTTAGTGAGTACTCCTACCCCTCCTCCATCATTGACAGTGTTCAAACAAAGGAGAATACCACTTGCCAGGAGCATTGGAGAAGATTCTGGAATTCTTTTTTTTTTTTTTTTCCTTTTTGTCATTTTTCGTGACCGGCAACGGGATCGCAACCCTCGGTGTTGCGCCCGAACCTCGCTCAGCCAGTGAGCGGCCGGTCTGTATGTGGGATCCAAACCCTCGGCGGGAGCGCCGCTGCGCTTCCCAAGCGGCGCACTGTAGCAGTGCGCCACCGGGCCGGCACAGAAGATTCTGGAATTCTAGTAGGGATTCAGCCACTAAGTTTTCTTCCAGTGTAGTAAGTCCACGTTCTTAGAGGGTTCATCTACTTACTCTGATTTGTAACATCATCTTCNTGGGTGAAATTTTCAGGACTTGCCTTACTCAATAAGACACAGAAAAGCAGAAATGGGTGACCTATATGAAAAGCAAAGAAGATGGAATTTGCTTGATTGAACTGAGAGGACAAAGCAAGCAGAAGAGGCTGATACTTTCTGGAGTAGTGGAAAGGAAAGAAATGGGGAGAAACCAGAGCTGATAACATAGGTAGAAAATGTAGAAGGTAAAACCATCTTCAGAATATTCCATTTTGAAAGCTTCATGAAAAAGTCATAGGAAAGAATTACCTGGATGTAGGAGCATCCTCTTTTTCAGTGATTTCAGACTGTTCACCAGGAAAGGACAAGTTGTATCCTAACCACAGTTTGCCATGTGCCTGACAGGAACAAATGCTAAGCATGGACTGCGCTGCAAAGCCTGTAAGATGAGCATCCACCACAAGTGCACAGACGGCCTGGCACCCCAGCGGTGCATGGGCAAGCTGGTAAGGGCCTGTGCCAGGAGTGGGCCCCACACTTTCTGCCCAGGGCACTTGCCAGCTGCAGTGAGATCATCCCCTCCAAATTCCTTCACTGCAGCCCTGAGGAGGGCACCCCAGAATCCCTGGCCTGCCACCTTGGCTTCCTAATTGGCATAATGATAGAGCAGAGGAGGAGCTTTGTCAACCTGATAGACAAACACCCCACACTTAATAGGAGTCAAGGTCCTTCGTAGAGTGACCATTTCTCCCTGGTTGGGACTTTCTCAGTTTTACACTGAAAGTCCACATCCTAGGGCTGTTCATCCTGGGACTGTTTCAAAAGTGAAAGTCACACATTCCACGAATCCCCTCAGCCCCAAGAAAACTAGGGTGATTGGTCACCCTAGTGCTTAATTGGCTGTCAGTTCAGTGGGTGTCAAGAGAGGACTAGAGCTAACCCCTGCGAAAGTGGCAAGAGTAATAAATATCCACACCACCTTAACAGAATCTTGTTGGCCAGACCAAGGGAGACTGGGTAGTCCTGGCTCATTCTGGGCTGATCATACCATCTCAGGTGTATAGGCTTCAGTCCTGGTGCCACACATCGATAAAAAGCAACCCAGAGCATGTTTGAGGGTCTTTGAAACTAGGCTGGTCCAAAGAATTTAGAAAAAAACAAGAATGACTACCCTAGAGAATAACTAAACAGGACATAACACCTGTCTACAAAACGTGTAAGGCCTGTCACATAGAAGAGGAATTCTGTTGTCCTTTGTGGCTCCAGGGGAAAGACATAGAATCAGTGGATACCAAATCTAATCAAAGATAATGTCACCAAAGACCTGCCTCTAGGGTTAGTGAGTACTCCTACCCCTGGGAGCGCCGCCGCGCTTCCCAAGCGGCGCACTGTAGCAGTGCGCCACCGGGCCGGCACAGAAGATTCTGGAATTCTAGTAGGGATTCAGCCACTAAGTTTTCTTCCATCGGCGGGAGCGCCGCTGCGCTTCCCAAGCGGCGCACTGTAGCAGTGCGCCACCGGGCTGGCACAGAAGATTCTGGAATTCTAGTAGGGATTCAGCCACTAAGTTTTCTTCCAGTGCTGGGGTGTAGTAAGTCCACGTTCTTAGAGGGTTCATCTACTTACTCTGATTTGTAACATCATCTTCTCTTAAACCCCTGCCTCACCTGTTCCCTTTCTCCTTCTCCAGTGGTGATTCCCACAAGCCAAGGCAAAGTTCACAGATGAGAGGTCAGAAAAAAAAGGAAACAGAATCCAGAACACAGAGCCAACAAAGCTCTTCAGACATACAAGGACCTTTAGGCCTACCTCTGAGGTCTGCTCTCCCATGCCCAGGCCTTTTCTGATTTTAACAACCCACAATAGTAAACTGCAGTGAAATAACGCAATGCAGTCCACTTGTAGCTTGGGGAGGTAATGACGACCCTGGACACCAGGGAGGCTGCAGTGCGCTGCTGGCAGAGGACAAGCAGGACAGGGAGGGCCAGGGCCGGGAGCCTACTGGATGGAGCGTAACTTGCTTGTTGCCACCTCCCTCCCCCTGCACCCTGTTGGGGATAAATTATAGAATTACAGGATAGGTCAGCATCTTTAAGGGAGACATGGGCAAGCTCCTGGAGAAACCAACTGGCTTTATTTTTAGGGTTTTTGTGTAGTTTCTTCCATCTTATCAGTAGCATTAACCCCTTCTCTTTCTCACTCTTTCTCCAGCCCAAGGGGTTTCGGCGTTACTACAGCTCCCCCTTGCTCATCAATGAACAATTTGGATGCATTAAAGAAGTTATGCCCATTGGTGAGTTGGGACATTGATGGGTTGAGCTGGGCTTTCAGCAGCAAAGTCAACATTAATCGCTCCTCTCCTCCCAGGGCTGCAGAACCAGTGGGGTGTCTTTGTGGGTTTGTCTGGTGGCTGTTTGGGTTATTATTGTCTCGCTGAAGGGAAAATATAAGGTGGACCAAATCCTCCAGGAATTTTTATCCTTTACCTGATGAAGCTTGAGAAACACCTAGGCCCCCACAGCTGCTGATGCACGCCCCCAGCCCTCAGCAGCACAGCTGCGTGGAGCATGGCTTCCCACACATGGTGCAAAGCCCAGCTCCCCCATACACCACTGTGTGTCTCTGAACAAGTTATGGACCTGCCAGACCCCACAAAATGAAAACTGGAATTGCAGCCTTTCATAATTGTTGTAAAAAATAAACATAAATTATAGGCATTGCTTAGTCGGAACTCAATGAATATGTTATTCTTTAATGGCTACCCAAAATGCACTATATATATAGATATTTCTGGCTTGGATTTATTCTTTAAAAATGTCTTTCAGATTACTTCTATTTTTTCTCTCGCTCTGAAAAATCTCTACATCTATTTTTGCCTTTTTTTGTGGGGGGACAAGTTTTAAACTAGAAATTTATAAACTAGAATGTTTTTCATTCGAAATTCATAAGGATTGGTAAAGTCAAATTCTTTCAAAAACATTTTCCTTCTTCTTAAGTCTTTATGTCTCAAAGCTATGTACCTTGGTGAGCAGAGCCTCCCACTAGAGGAGATAAAGCTGATCTCTAGGAAGAACCTTGAAACTGGCATCCTGAGGATGGATAACAAAAGAGGAAAAAGTCAGTCAGGAAGTGTTGGGAGCAGAGTTCTAGTTGGAAGTGCTGGGTGCAGGGGAGGGGCCTGGCGAATGGGAGCACGTTGGGGTGGGGTGCACCTGTGCATCATGACCTCAGAAGCCCATCATCCCAGGGGCTAGCAGGTCTGCTGCATGGAAACTTCTTCTCAGGTTCTGTTAACCCAGGAGATGTGGTAGGAGGGTGGCTGGGTTCTCTCAGATGAGCTTTTTCAGATGAGCTTTCTCTTCTGTTGCAGCCTGTGGCAATAAGGTGGACCCTGTGTACGAGACCCTCCGCTTCGGCACCTCCCTGGCCCAGAGAACAAAGAAGAGCAGCTCCGGCAGTGGCTCTGATTCACCTCACAGAACCTCTGTAATTTCTTCTTCCCTCCATTCCCCATGGTGGCCTCGGGTGGGGCCAGCCTCAGGCATGGCAATATGAGGGGTTCCACCTAAATGCCTCATGAGGGTGGGTCTGTTGAGAGTCAGGCAGCCTCCAAAGGGAAAGCAAAAGTGCTCTGGGCCACTAAGGGTTAACTTTCTGTTGCCAACACCCAGGGATCATTTTACTTTCTTGCTCTAGGACCACCTTCTTGGCCTCATGCTCCTTGATTCTTCCCACATACTCCTCTCCTTCACCCTCCCACCAATATTAGATTACATATCAGTCAACACAGAGAAATGTTTGGCTCAGACAGTGGGCAGGAGCAGGCAAGTCCTGGCTATTTCCAGTTCTCCTTCCAGCTACTTCCCAGTTCAAGGTTACAGCTATTTCTCACATTTTCTCGGTCCTTTCTCTCTAAGACAAGATACACCCCTTGCTTTCACACAAAAACTGCCCTCTCCAGAGTCACTTGACCTGTGACTCAGTGGGGCCTCTCTCCACAGGACACTCACTCCCAGGCACCTCTCCTAAGTTTTATCTGATCTAAACTAACTATTCCATGCATCTCTATGACCTGTTTTCATCATCCTGTCTCTGTCTGTCCCAACCAGAATTTCTTTTTTTTTTTTTCCTTTTTGTCTTTTTTCGTGTCCGGCAACGGACCGCAACCCTCAGTGTTGCACCCGTACCGGACCGGGACCAGCAACGGGATTGCAACCCTCGGTGCTGCGCCCACCCCTCGCTCAGCCAGTGAGTGGGAACCGGTCTGTATGTGGGATCCGAACCCTTGGCGGGAGCACCGCTGCGCTCCCAAGCGGCGCACTGTAGCAGTGCGCCACCGGGCCAGCCCCCAACCAGAATTTCTTTTTTTTTTTTTCCTTTTTGTCTTTTTTCGTGTCCGGCAACGGACCGCAACCCTCAGTGTTGCACCCGTACCGGACCGGGACCAGCAACGGGATTGCAACCCTCGGTGCTGCGCCCACCCCTCGCTCAGCCAGTGAGTGGGAACCGGTCTGTATGTGGGATCCGAACCCTTGGCGGGAGCACCGCTGCGCTCCCAAGCGGCGCACTGTAGCAGTGCGCCACCGGGCCAGCCCCCAACCAGAATTTCTATAAATATTCTGCAGCCCATGCTGAAGGCCACCATCCTTCCTGCAAAGAGACAAGGACCTTGGGTTGACATTGCCACTTAGGATAGCCTGCACCCAGTTACCGGTTCCATTGTCACAGTTCCTACTGGACTGGAGGCTTCTAAGCAACACACAGTTGAGCCTCTGAACGGTCTGCCCTGCCGGGTCCTCTCCACAGCAAGTGATTGGGGTGGGTTGTGGAATGAAGAGCAGGGCATACCCCCCCGGGAGGGGTTCGCAGGGGCTGAGATGAAGTAGCTCCCTTATTGGGTTCAGGTCAATCCACAAGGTAAGCTGAGATTGTAGGTGCTCAAGTAGGTATGCAGGTCAGGTGGATGAATAGGTAGGTTTGTAGGCCCTCTGACTGATGTCACATGGTCATCCTAGAAGCCATCTTTAAACTCACCTAAAGTCCCATTCTTTATGCATTCCGCTGATTTCTAAGAGGGAAGACCCGAAAATAATTTTTACTCTTTTTTTCTTGCTGTACATAAAATTGATGTCACTTAGTTCTTCTACTCAGTTAACAAACATGAACGAAGAGCCTACACTTCACTAGTACTGTAGGGGATACAAAAGAACAGGAGGACATGGCTCCATACCATCATTTTTGAATTCTAAAATTCAAAACTTATTTCTGAAGATCAAACCATGGATACAAAAGCCAATGATGGTGGCATTGCTTAGCATTTTTTAAAATACACTTTGATATGTCTCATCCTATTTTATTAACAATAAGAACATAACATACATGTGTTAAGGATATTGTGATAACTATGTCATATGAGTGCAGAAGGATTTCAAAGTAAAGATGGGAATTGTTTAAGTTCAGTAGACATTGCCTCAAATCAGTGAGGGTATAATTTGTGACATTTTAAGATACCCAGATCTGATGATCTCCCTAGAGAGATCATTATCATTTGGCAGTCCAAAAGATGATGCTAATGCATTTACTGAAAGAAGACTCGAAACAGTGCTAAACATGATAAAAATATACAAAGTATATATAGATAGGATTTATATTATATACAAATATGTTATGGCTGCATGTGTTGGGTAATAATAACAATAGTTTATATATAAAGCATCTAGCACAGGGACTGGCATAATGGACACTTAGTAAATGGAAGTTGTTGCTATTTTATTTTCATTAGGCATCTAGGCCTTAGCTGGATATTCTTTGAACCTGAGGTACTATGAAGTTAAACAAGTGTGTAATCTACTCAAAAGCAAATATGTTATTTTTTTTCCCTTTAAATTTTTATTTTGTCAATATACAATGTGGTTGATTATTATGGCCCATTACCGAAGCCTCCCTCCCTCCACCTTCTCCCCCCTCCCACCCAACAATGTCCTTTCCGTTTGCTTGTCGTAACAACTTCAAAAAATTGTAGTTGTTATATCTTCTCCCCCCCCCACTCCCGGTTTTTTTTGTGTGTGTGTGAGTGAATTTATTTATTTACTTTTAGCTCCCACCAATAAGTGAGAACATGTGGTATTTCTTTTTCTCTGCCTGACTCGTTTCACTTAATATTATTCTCTCAAGGTCCATCCATGTTGTTGCAAATGGCAGTATTTCATTCGTTTTTATAGCTGAGTAGTATTCCATTGTGTAGATATACCACATTTTCCGTATCCACTCATCCGATGATGGACATTTGAGAAGAGCATTTTCTGGAGTCACCCTTTAACAG